ACCAACCTAGATGCCCTTCAATAGACGAATGGATAAAACAAATGTGGCATTTATACACAATGGAGTATTACTCTGCATTAAAAAATGACAAAATCATAGAATTTGCAGGGAAATGGATGGCATTAGAGCAGATTATGCTAAGTGAAGCTAGCCAATCCCTAAAAAACAAATGCCAAATGTCTTCTTTGATATAAGGAGAGTAACTAAGAACAGAGTAGGGACAAAGAGCATGAGAAGAAGATTAACATTAAACTGGGATGAGAGGTGGGAGGGAAAGGGAGAGAGAAGGGAAATTGCATGGAAATAGAAGGAGACCCTCAGGGTTATACAAAATTTCATACAAGAGGAAGTGAGGGGAAAGGGGAAAATAATACAAGGGGGAGAAATGAATGACAGTAGAGGGGGTAGAGAGAGAAGAGGGGAGGGGAGGGGAGGGGAGGGGGGATAGTAGAGGATAGGAAAGGCAGCAGAATACAACAGACACTAGTATGGCAATATGTAAATCAATGGATGTGTAACTGATGTGATTCTGCAATATGTATACGGGGTAAAAATGGGAGTTCATAACCCACTTGAATCAAAGTGTGAAATATAATATATCAAGAACTATGTAATGTTTTGAACAACCAACAATTAAAAAATTAAAAAAAAAGAAATTTGGAACCCTCTAATCATGTTTTGGTTTTTCTGACAACCAGCCCTGATCCTGAAGCTACCCAGAGGCCCACCAAGAATGGCCTCATTAGAACAAAAGATGCTTCTATCATCCAAGCAATTTCAAGGGATTTGGAACTGAGGACAAGGACCAAATATATATTTATCACAGAAGCATATGATTAAAATAGTTAGGCTGTTTTAGTAATATAGAAGAGATGGTAAGGATATTATTTAGGTCACCAAGATAGAACAGTGCTGACCAATTGAAATTTCTGTAATGGTGGTACTTGGTATGGACTAATGTTTGTGTCCCCTCAGAATTGTTCTGTGGTGCCCTTATAGTCTAGATATGTACTAACTAATAGCCAGAAGATATACATTTCTACTGAGTTCTTGAAATGTGTCCAATGAAACTGAAGAACTGAATTTTAAATCTTACTTAATTTGAATCAATTAAAAGGCTACATGTATCTAATGGCTACTGGATTATATAGTGTGGAGCTCCAAGAAAGAATTGACTTCAGAAATAATGAGAAAGTTTTGAAAGAATTTCATCACTGATGGAGGTCAGACTGGGAATTCAATAAAGAAGAGAAAGAAGTTAAATATGAAACCCAAATTTCTGTGCATTGTGGTGAATTAATTATTTGACATCCTTATTACTTCTAGAGTATAAACTTAATGAGGGTGGGGCTGTTTGTCTTAGTCAATGTTTTATCCCTATCACCTTATATCATACCTGATATATAGGAGGCGCTCATTGAGTATTTGTCAAAGGATGGATGGAAGGGAGGGAGGCAAAACAATCTGATAAAGCACTAGCCACATTCAATATGATAAAGGATTAGTATGAGAAGAAAATCCAGGAGGAAGTAAGTAGTATCTCATATGTTCGGCACTGCTTATATATTTCTACTGCATTACATCATTTAATCTGTTCAATAATCCCCTGAGTTAGATATTTATTCCCATTTTACAGATACTCAAACTGAAAGTTGGAAAAGTTAAAGAAACTGAGCAAAGTGACCTTAACTAGGTGGTAGAGTTTCAAACTCTTGAGTTGGGACCAACTTACAGGAAAACAATACTAGCTCCAGGAGAGAAGTTTGGACTCTATACATACACTTTTTGGAATCAACAGTAAAAAGAAGTACTAAGGAAAGCTATGGGAGGAAGTCCAGAAAAGAGTCTTATCCTTAAATCTGAGGGTGAAGAAGGGCTAAGGAAGGGTAGGGAGTGGCCCCCATCTCAAGGACTAAATGTGGTCCATGTGTTTCATGGGTCTATAGCAAAAGCACTTTCTTGAACTGGGGACAGAGTCAGATTATAAGGCACCAAGGAGGGATTAGAAGAAGATACAACAATAGCAAGTGCAAACTTTTATTCTTTTTTTTTTTTCTTGGAAAGGGGATTGAACCCAGTAGTGATTAACCACTGAGCCACATCCTCAGCCCTTGTTATATTGTATTTAGAGACAGGATCTCACTGAATTACTTAAGGCTTCACTAAGTTGCTTAGGCTGGCTTTGAGCTTGCAATCCTCCTGCCTCAGCCTCCTGAGTCACTGGGATTACAGTCGTGCTCCACCACACCTGGCTATTAACGTTGCTATTTTAAGAAGGAAAATATTTGAGCTGGGTATAGTAGCTGCACTGTTGTAATCCCAGTGACTTGGGAAGCTGAGGCAGGAGGATTGAAAGTTTAAAGCCAGCCTCAGCCTCTGCGATGCACTAAACAACTCAATGAGACCCTGTCCCTAAATAAAATATAAAATAGGGCTGGGGATGTGGATCAATGGTTGAGTGCCCCTGAGTTCAATTCCTGGTACCACCCCCCCCCAAAAAAAAAAAAAGAATAGAAAATATTTGAGCATGCTTGTGGGAAATAAAAGACCATTGAGGTGGAGAAGGACCAGAGAGTGAAAATCCTGATGATGGATGTTGTGATCTATAGCAATGCTTCTCAAACTGTGATCAGCAGACTCATACCAGTCCATGAACTGTGAGTTACTACTTGTCCAATATAGTAAATTCCTCTATTTTTATTTCATTTTTTACAGTGTGGGGATGGAACCCAGTGCCTTGATGCATGGTAGGTAAGCACTCTACCACTGAGCTACACCTCTAGCCTCTGAGACAGTAACTTGTGATGCATATAGAAATGAAAAATAGAACTGGAGGGGTACCTTAGTGGTAGGATTCTTGCCTAACATGTGCAAGGCCCCTGGGTTTGATATTTAGCACCGATTAAAAAAGAAGAAGAAGAAGAGAAAAAGAAATGGAAAATAAATATTTAGAAATTAGAGCAATTTCTCAGGAGGAGCATAAGGCAGGAGGATCCAAGTTTGAGGATAGCTTCAGCAACCTAGCAAGACCCTATCTCAAAATAAAAAATAAAAAATAAAAGCACTGAGGAGGTAGCTCAGTGGTAAAGCACCCCTGGGTTCAATCCTCAGTACTAAAAATAAATAAATAAATAATTTTTAGCACAATTTGTTTTTTGGGGGGGCAAGTACAGGGGAGTGAACTCAGGGGCACTTGACCGCTGAGCCACATCCCCAGCCCTATTTTGTATTTTATTTAGAGACAGGGTCTCCCAGAGTTGCTTAGCACCTTGCTTTTGCTGGCTTTGAACTCTCAATACTCCTGCCTCAGGCTCTCAAGCTGCCAGATTTACAGGCATGTGCCACTGCAACTGGCCTTTTAGAACAATTTGAAAGAATTATTTGATAATTATTGATCTCAAATATTTAAAAACATGGGGCTTGTGTTTTATATGTCCTTCATCCATGATGGTTATTTTCCAATGCTTGACTTTGAATACGTTTTACAAAAATATTGGTCCTTAATGGATTGGATATTTTTTAAAGGTCCTTCATCACAGTATTAGAAGTATTGCTCTAAAGCAAAGATGCCATAGTGAGGTACAGAGAATAATTCTCAATGGTGTGAGAATATTATACAAGAACATCTGTATGTGACAGAGAGATTATGTGAGAGAGAGAGAAAAGAGAAAGAGAGATTGGATTGTCTTACTATTACTTAATGGAGAAAATGGCTTTGCCAGGCATACTTGATCTATTTGTCCAGTGGTTTCTTGATGAATAGGGATTCCAAAGAAAGTAAAGATCTTCTATTAAGATGACGAATTGCAATGATGTTGTCATTGGGTCTTTAGGATTCAGCATATTTAAAAGTGTTGTAATTCTTATGGCCTAAGTGGATTTATGTATTATCCTCCCTAACATTTTTGTTTGCTTATTTCTTTTTGCGGGGTTGAGGGTCAAACCTAGCTCCTCCTGCATGCTAAGCAAGTATTCTATTGCCCAGCCCCATCTTACTTAGTTTTAATTCAATTTACCCTCACTAAATGGAAAAGTAGATGAATAGACTTTTTCAAAGACAAAACAAATTGGTGTTAATTCTAATAAAAATGTACAAATGAACAGCAGGAAATCAACAGGGAAACAGTTGTTCAACTGCTAGCACAGGCTTTTAGTCACATTATGAAGAACCTGCATTAACAAGATAGTTCAGTTTGACAAGATGGCAGCTGAAAAACATTCACGTTAACAAGAAGTTTCTTTGTCATGAGGATGCACTGTCAGTGTAATTAATGCCCTAAGTGTATTTTATGTCTAGAGAATGATTAATGATATTAATTAAGCTAGCAAATCAAAATTGGCAAGGCATTAAAAAAAACTTAAATGTCAAGTAAGTAAAGAGAAATGTCTAGAATTGTTTTCAGAAAGTTTCAAGTCATTTGGTCCTACTCCAGTACCTTTATTAATTTCATCAAATTGAGTAATAATTATTTAGAAAGTTATTTTGGTATTTCTTACAAACAAAAGATAAAAATCCACAAATTAGTGGGGAAATATTCATGCCTCTTGACTTTGTAAAAATGGCTAAGATAACCAGGCACGGTGGCACACACCTGTGATCTCAGTGGTTTGGGAGGCTGAGGCAGGACTGGTAGCAAGTTCAAAGCCAGCTTCAGCAACTTAGCGAGGCCCTAAGCAACTCAGTGAGACCCTGTCTCTAAATAAAATACAAAATAGGGCTGGGATGTGGCTCAGTGGTTGAGTGCCCCTAAGTCAATCCCTGGTAAAAAAAAAAAAGTTAAGATAATGAAACATGCAGTGTTTAATTACTGTTTTAAAAGGCATAAGAAACAGTTGCAAATTAGAAGAAGCATATGAAAACCAAGAGCAGGGTTAATACGTACATATTTTTGTTAACAACAAATCCTTTTTTAAAAGCCACCAAAATTGCTGTAGGGCACTCTAAACCCTATCCCCCCACGGAACAATTAAGTATAAACTATCAAAATCAACTTTTTCAGGATTCTGGGATACATTTCAAAACCCACAAAAACCTGGAAAGCACTTAATGAAGAAAGAAGCTGCGAACATTTGGTAAGATAATCGGTGATTTAACTTACTTGCTATTTCCTGTTCCCACCAGCTCAGTGGTGGCTAGAAAACAAGGACCCCTGTACCTGCTGTCGTTTAGTACTAGAGAGTGCAATGTAGGCTTACTCTCATAAAATTGTGTCTATGGTTAAAAACCAAGTTGATCAAAGACTTAAATGTAGTCACCCTGCTAAGTGAAAAAAGCCCGACATGGCAAGAAAAATACTGCATGACTCACTTAGATGTTGAATCTTAAAAAAATGTCAAATATATACAAACAGAGCAGAATGGTGGTTACATATTAAATGATTTTAGTTTTATGAAGCATCCACAATAGGTAACTCCATAGAGACAAGAAAGAAGACTTATGGTTGCTAGGGGCTGGGGAACAGGAAGAATGGGAAATGACGTGTTGGGTAAAGGGTTCCCTTTGGAGATGAGAAAAAGGACTTAGGTGGTTGTGATGGTTGCCCAATTTTGTGACTGTACTACAGGCCACAGAATTGCCGTCTAAAATGTAGAATTTTATGTTAAGTGAATTTTACCACAATAACAATTAACAAACAAACAGTGAGAAAGTGAGAACAAGGAAGCAAGCATGAGAAAGTGTTAATATTTAGGAGACTATGGGAGCTCTTTGTACAGTAGATGGTGTCACTGTTTTCAAATACCCCTTTAGCTTCCCACATTCCCTATTGCAAGCAGCTACCATGCTCATACTGGCTGAAACCGGAAGAAAACACTATAATCTATAGTGCCCAAATTTGTTTTTATGGGAAGGGAGAATGAGACATGTGAGTCACTTTCCATTCCAGTAACTGATCATCTCATGAGTCTTCAGCCACAGAAGCTACATTGCTTTTTTTGACTTTGATTTTAATAGAAAAGCATCCTAGAGATCTAAAAGATTCTCAGTAATGAAGAGTTTATGTTCTACAAATAATAAACAACTCTTCTCATGTTGCCACTGCCACAAAATGAAAACCTTTAGTGTCTAGATTTTAAATATTTTACAATTATTTCATTAACCATGCAAATTTTTTGAGGGGGGTGTGGGAGTACTAGAGATTGAACTCAGGGGCACTGGACCACTGAGCCACATCTCCAGGCCTATTTTGCATTTTAATTAGAGACAGGGTCTCATTGAATTGCTAGGGCCTCATTACATTGCTAAGGCTGGTTTTGAACTCATGATCTTCCTGTCTTGGCTTCCTGAGCTGCTCAGATTACAGGCATGCACCACTGTGCCCAGCTTGATCTGGATCTTTAAGGACCCAAATCAATTTGCCCACCATAAAAGGGAAGAAGCTGGGCTAAAAGTGGAGGTGCAGGATAAGAAGGAAAGGTACATATTATTTAACTTAAGCATAAATTATGTGAAGTGTTTTTGTTGTTGTTGTTTTGCAGTGCTAGGGATTGAGTCCTGTCATGCATGCTTTACCATTGAGCTATATCCCTAATCCTTTTTATTTTTCATTTTGTGTCAGGGTCTTGCTAAGTGGCTGAGGCTAGCTTCTGGTTTGTAATCCTGCCTCAGCCTCCTTAGTAGATGATGTGCCGATACACCCAGCTATACATGAAGTTTGTGCAGTGAAATATATGCATATGAAATATATCATTATTTCACCTTTAGGCAAGACCCAATTAGATATTTTTGAAGCTACTTTCTCAGACTGTTTTAGAAATATGAACCAGCCTGTTGCAATAATCTATTATCACTGATTTAAAGTGTCTGCTCCTGAGAACTGGGTTTGCTAGCTTCCTTGCTGACCCAGGTGCCAGAGGTCAGCAGGTATGGTTGCCTGAATAGTTATTTTTCCCTCATTTTTGGACATTCTTCTTCCCTGACATGCTGGCATTTACAACAATTTTTTTTAGTTGTTGTAATTAAGATCTTTATAAATCAAAAATTAGACTTAGCATTTCCTAGGGCACAGAACATTTAGCTGCAGATTTTATTTTTTAAGACAGTTTGAATATGTTGTAGTAAAGAAGTTAATTGTCAGACTGAGAGATCCCAGGAGTGGCTGCTCTTAGAAGTCAAGAAAAGATGGAAGAAATTCAGGGTAGAGTGCTGTTGGATTCTTTAGCTCTCTTCATTGGAAAATTGTATGGGTGGTTAAATGTAATTAATTTCCTGTTCAGTGATTTTGACATTTTATTTGCATTATGGGTAAAGCATCTCAGATAGTTTATATTTTCAGACTCTGGGAATTGAAGTAAGGATGTTTTAGATGTGAAAATACCCACTCTCTTTTCTCTCACTTTCTGGCCAAAATGTCTGGCAAAACCGGATCTTGCTCTGTAAGTTGAGTTTTCATGAAATGTTTATTTTCAAATGTAACAATAGATCCTATTAATTAAAGCCATATCTTAAGTCTTGCTTGCCACTGTGAATTGTGGCAATACTTTTTCTCTATAATGCAGAAAATGGCTATTTTTTTTGCTATCTTTGGAAGCTTCATTCAAATGTCTTTATAAATCAAAGTTTTCTAATTTTGGGGAGCTTAACCACTGAGCCACATCCCCAACCTTTTTCATTTTGTATTTTGAGATAGAGTCTTGCTAAATTGCTTAGTCTTGCTGAATTGCTTAGGGCCTAAATTGCTAAAGTTGGCTCCTGGAGATCCTCCTTCCTTAAGCCTCTCTAGTCCCTGGGATTACAGGCATGTGCCACCATGCCCAGTATAACATATATCTTAAACAACCATTTAAAGTCTCTAGAAATGGTCTTAAAGACAACAGCAAATGAAGAAATATTTATTCAATAAAATCTATTAATACTTAGTGATAATGTATCAATTAAAAAAGATAAATAGAAGGAAGGCCAATAGAGTAGAGGAAGGAGGTGAGGGGGAGAGAGAGGAGAGGAAAAGAGGAAGTACTGGGAATAGAAATGGAGCAAACAATATTATGTCCATTTATGTATATGTCAAAATGAACTCCACTATTATGTGTAATTCTAATGCACTAGTAAAAACTAAATAAAAATAAAATAACAGTAAAAAAAAAAAAAAAAAACAGCGAGAGCTGGATGCAGTGGCGAATGCCTGTAATCTCAGTGGCTCCAGAGGTGGAGGCAGGAGGATTGTAGGTTCAAAGCCAGCCTCAGCATGTTAGCAAGGCGCTAAGCAATCCGTGAGACCCTGTCTCTAATAAAATACAAAATAGGACTGGGGATGTGGTTCAATGGTCAAGTGCCCCTGAGTTCAATACCTGATACCAAAAAAAAAAAACACAAAAAACAAACAAACAAACAATAAAACAACAACAATAACCTGTGAGAGTTAAGATTCTGTAGTATTTGAACTGAGATTGAGTCTGTCTTTCTCTCCTCCTACTTTTGCAAAATGGAAACTCCCACAGGGACTTGTGCAACAAAGAACATAGAAATCCTTCCCCCTCTACCTTCTATTAGGGCTATTTTTAGGGGAATTCAAGACACCAGCATTTTTTATCCTGCCCCCAGCCACTTGTTGCTATAGCAAATTTCTGGGTAGTGTGGCTAAGAGATCGGAGATTGCTATCCAAAGCTCAGTCTTTGTGCCCAATCCCAATCCAATAAGGAGGACACAGTTTTGAGAAAAAGGAAAGACATTTTATTGCTTTGCTAGCAAAAGAGAAACCCAGGAGACTCCTGTCCTAGAGGCTGTGAATCTGCCCATCAGGGGGAACAGGGGTTTTTAAAGAGGTGATTTGAAGGCTACATTCCACGTGTTCTCTGGAGTTGTAATTCACTTGTTAATTTGGGAGATAATAATTTCTGAGATCTTCTGGGTGCCATCCTCAAGTCTGTGGTGGGTGTGTGCTCAAGGACATAACTCTATAACTCTGCCTAGGATGGGGAAGAAAGGTAATCCTGTTTCCCTGAGGAGGGAGAGAGATTAGGGAGGAGGACAGAGAGGAAGAGAAACATGTCCTTTTAAAAAGAAATTGCAGACCGGATGGGTATACAGCAGAATTTTACAAAACCTTTAAAGAAGAACTAATACCAATACTTTTCAAGCTACTTCAGGAAATAGAAAAAGAGGGAGAACTTCCCAATTCATTCTATGAGGCCAACATCACCCTGATACCTAAACCAGACAAAGACACTTCAAAGAAAGAAAACTACAGACCAATATCTCTAATGAACCTAGATGCAAAAATCCTCAACAAAATTCTGGCGAATCGGATACAAAAACATATCAAAAAAATTGTACACCATGATCAAGTAGGATTCATCCCTGGGATGCAAGGCTGGTTCAATATACGGAAATCAATAAATGTTATTCACCACATCAATAGACTTAAAGATAAGAACCATATGATCATCTCGATAGATGCGGAAAAAGCATTTGACAAAGTACAGCATCCCTTTATGTTCAAAACTCTAGAAAAACTAGGGATAACAGGAACATACCTCAATATTGTAAAAGCAATCTATGCTAAGCCTCAGGCTAGCATCATTCTGAATGGAGAAAAACTGAAGGCATTCCCTCTAAAATCTGGAACAAGACAGGGATGCCCTCTCTCTCCACTTCTGTTCAACATAGTTCTCGAAACACTGGCCAGAGCAATTGGACAGACGAAAGAAATTAAAGGCATAAAAATAGGAAAAAAAGAACTTAAATTATCACTATTTGCAGATGATATGATTCTATACCTAGCAGACCCAAAAGGCTCTACAAAGAAACTATTAGAGCTAATAAATGAATTCAGCAAAGTGGCAGGATATAAAATCAACACGCATAAATCAAAGGCATTCCTGTATGTCAGCGACAAATCCTCTGAAATGGAAATGAGGACAACCACTCCATTCACAATATCTTCAAAAAAAATAAAATACTTGGGAATCAACCTAACAAAAGAGGTGAAAGACTTACACAATGAAAACTACAGAACCCTAAAGAGAGAAATAGAAGAAGATCTTAGAAGATGGAAAAATATACCCTGTTCATGGATAGGCAGAACTAACATCATCAAGATGGCGATATTACCAAAAGTTCTCTATAGGTTTAATGCAATGCCAATCAAAATCCCAACGGCATTTCTTGTAGAAATAGAGAAAGCAATCATGAAATTCATATGGAAAAATAAAAGACCCAGAATAGCAAAAACAATGCTAAGCAGGAAGTGTGAATCAGGCGGTATAGCGATACCAGACTTCAAACTATACTACAGAGCAATAGTAACAAAAACAGCATGGTACTGGTACCAAAACAGGCGGGTGGACCAATGGTACAGAATAGAGGACACAGAAACCAATCCACAAAACTACAACTATCTTATATTTGATAAAGGGGCTAAAAGCATGCAATGGAGGAAGGATAGCATCTTCAACAAATGGTGCTGGGAAAACTGGAAATCCATATGCAACAAAATGAAACTGAATCCCTTTCTCTCGCCATGCACAAAAGTTAATTCAAAATGGATCAAGGAGCTTGATATCAAATCAGAGACACGCCGTCTGATAGAAGAAAAAGTTGGCTACGATCTACAGTCGGTGGGGTCGGGCTCCAAATTCCTCAATAGGACACCCATAGCACAAAAGTTAATAACTAGAATCAACAAATGGGACTTACTCAAACTAAAAAGTTTTTTCTCAATAAAAGAAACAATAAGAGAGGTAAATAGGGAGCCTACATCCTGGGAACAAATCTTTACTCCTCACACTTCAGATAGAGCCCTAATATCCAGAGTATACAAAGAACTCAAAAAATTAGACAATAAGAGAACAAACAACCCAATCAACAAATGGGCCAAGGACCTGAACAGACACTTCTCAGAGGAGGACATACAGTCAATCAACAAGTACATGAAAAAATGCTCAACATCTCTAGCTGTCAGAGAAATGCAAATCAAAACCACCCTAAGATACCATCTCACTCCAGTAAGATTGGCAGCCATTAGGAAGTCAAACAACAACAAGTGCTGGCGAGGATGTGGGGAAAAGGGTACACTTGTACATTGCTGGTGGGACTGCAGATTGGTGCAGCCAATTTGGAAAGCAGTATGGAGATTTCTTGGAAAGCTGGGAATGGAGCCACCATTTGACCCAGCTATTCCCCTTCTTGGTCTATTCCCTAAAGACCTAAAAAGAGCATGCTACAGGGACACTGCTACATCGATGTTCATAGCAGCACAGTTCACAATAGCAAGACTGTGGAACCAACCTAGATGCCCTTCAATAGACGAATGGATAAAAAAAATGTGGCATTTATACACAATGGAGTATTACTCTGCATTAAAAAATGACAAAATCATAGAATTTACAGGGAAATGGATGGCATTAGAGCAGATTATGCTAAGTTAAGCTAGCCAATCCCTAAAAAACAAATGCCAAATGTCTTCTTTGATATAAGGAGAGTAACTAAGATCAGAGTAGGGACGAAGAGCAGGAGAAGAAGATTAACATTTAACAGGGATGAGAGGTGGGAGGGAAAGGGAGAGAGAAGGGAAATTGCATGGTAATGGAAGGAGACCCTCAGGGTTATACAGTGGAGGGGGTAGAGAGAGAGGAGGGGAGGGGAGGGGAGAGGTGGGGAGGGGGGAGGGTGGAGGATGGGAAAGGCAGCGGAGCACAACAGACACTAGTATGGCAATATGTAAATCAATGGATGTGTAACTGATGTGATTCTGCAATCTGTGTATGGGGTGAAGGTGGGAGTTCATAACCCACTTGAATCAAAGTGTGGAATATGATATGTCAAGAAATTTGTAATGTTTTGAATAACCCACAATAAAAAATTAAAAAATAAATAAATAAATAAATAAAGGCATTGTGTTCATCTATAACTAATAAAAATATTTTTAAAAAAGTTAAAAAAATAAAAAAAAAATAAAAAGAAATTGCAGCCAGGCTCAAAGGCATGTGCCTGTAATCCAAACAGTTTGGGAGGCTAAGGCAAGAGGATTGTGAGTTTAAAGCCAGCCTCTGCAACTTAGTGAGGCCCTGAGAAACTCAGAGAGACCCTGTCTAAATAAATTGGGAAAAGGGCTGGGGATGTGGCAGATGTGGCTCAGGAGTTAAGCACCTCTGGGATCAATCCCTGGTACCAAAAAAAAAAAAAAAAAAAAAGCACAGTGGCAGAGCAGCAAGGGCTATAGCATAAAGTGGAACACTGTTATAATTCCTTCTTCCTCTCAGGCCTCACTCATGGAATGGAAGCTCCACTCTCGGTGTGGCATCGTTGAGTATATTGGGACCTGATCATCCTTGCATGGGTTGTAATCCATGTGTGGTCCACTCTGACAGAGTCAAGCTGAGAAGACCCAAAGCTACTCTTTCCTTTTACAGGTACTTAGCTCCTATAATAGGGGTGTTACTCTGAGAATATTGTGCCATTGTCCCCTGGTCCCAGCTCTAGAATCAAGGCTCAGAGATTTTGTCTTTGGAGAGAAGCAAGCCATAAAACAAAGAACTCTGAATTTCATGACTTTGTTTGCAATAAAGAATGGAAAAGTTCAAGGCTAAGGGTAGTCTCAAAAACAGTGAAAGTCTAGTGGAAAGCAATTGCCCCAAGACATTGTTAAGAACAATAGAGCAGTCAGCCAGTAATTCTGGAGTTAGACAGGTAGGCTTGTCAGGGAAAGAGACAAAGGGAGCTCTGTCAAACCAATGTCAGCCCAGGGTGACTGTGGTCCTACTCAAGTCTGCAGTCCTGAAGGAATAACATCAAAGGTTTTACATTGCACTGGGGGCAGGATAAACTTCACCAAAATAATCCAGCTAGTCAATAAACAGGCAATTGATAACAAACACTTGGAGAAGGGGGCCAATACCCAGAGTTGCTACAAAAAATGATGAGATATGCGAAGAAAAGGAAATTATGACCCATGTACACCAGAAAAAAGCAGGCAACAGAAACCGCCTGTGAGAGCATATCTCATATATATATATATATATATATATATATATATATATATATATATATTTTTTTTTTTTTTTTTTTTGGAAAATGGAAATCCTTGATAATATATTGCAACAACTCTTGGTATTGCCCCCCCACCAAGTACTTGTTATTACTTGCTTCTTTGTTTAGTGACTGGCTGGATTATTTTAGATGAGGAATTTAACAAACACCTCAAGGCTGTGATTATAAAGAGATAGAAAGTACAAAGCACCAAATGGAGGATTCCACCTCTTGCGTCCCCTTCTTCCTCCAGGGAGAAGTCTTTTCTACTGTCCTTTAATAAAGCTTCTACTTTCCACTCTAAAAAAAAAAGAACCAATGGAAATTCTGGAATTGAGAATTACAATAACTGAGATGAAAAGTTCAATAGAGGGCTGACCAGTAGAATGGCAAAGTGAATTTTCTGATAAGTCAATTGAGATAACCTAATTTAAGAAGCAGAAAAAAAGAAGAATGAAGAAAAATGAAAAGTTCTTCAGGCTGAAAGCAAATGTCTCTAGACAGTAATTCAAATCATAAATTTCAAAAAATAAATAATATTAACAAAGTACACTGGTGAAGATAATTATGCAGCTACAAAAGACCAGATTAGAACATATTTATTTTCTTTAACTGATTTAAAAAGCAATCACATAAAATAATATGTGTATAATATATTGTATATATAATATATACAAGTGTAATATATTTTCAAAAAATAAAGGGAGTGGATGTGAGCAATGTCATACTGAATTAAGGAAATGACCCTGGATAGTAACTTGAAACCACAGGAACAAATGAAGATGACTAGAAATGGCAAATGAAAAGGTCAATATTATTTATTATTCTCTTGGCTTCTTTAAAGTACATAAGATCATACGGAATATTAATTATGTCAATGTATTTTTGGATTTATAGAATTTATTGATTTAATATGTATATCAATAATACCATAAAAAGGACAAGTTAATAGCTCAGTGTCTCAATGAATTAACATAAATTAGAGATTGTTTTTGATGAGATATGGTATAAGCCCTACAGAAACCACTAAAGAAGTAAATCAAGAAAATATAGTGAAAAAATAAAGGAATTAAAATGCTGCTTGAGAAAATATTCACTTACTGCAAAAGGAAGTAGTAAAGGATGAATATAAGAGCAAAAAGGACATGTGAGGGGGCTGGGGTTGTGGCTCAGTGGTAGAACATTTGCCTAGCATGTGTGAGGCACTGGGTTCAATCCCCAGCACCACATAAAAATAAAAACAAGTAAGTAAAGGTATTGTGTCCATCCACAACTAAAAAAATCTTTTAAAAAAAAGGACATGTTAGATATAGGAAACAAAAAGTAAAATAGCAGAGGAAAATTAACTGTATCAGGAATAATATTAAATGCAAACAAAAGACAGATTATCTGACTGAATTAATAAACAAAATCCAACTATAGGTGTCTCAAGGAGACATACTTTAGAGTCAAAGCTAAAAATTCATGGAGCATACACCTGCACTACAAGCTACTCAGGAGGCTGAGGTAGAAGAATTGCAAGTTCAAGGCCAGCCTGAGCTACTTAGTGAGACTGTGTCTCAATATAAAAAATAAAAAAGGGCTGGGGATGTAGGTCAATTGTAGAGCACCCCTGGGTTCCATCACCAATAAACAAACAAACAAAAAAGGATGGCAAAAGATAAACCATAGAGACAGCAACCACAAGAAAGCTGGATTAGCTAGACTAACGTCTGAAAATGAGTATGTTAAAACTAAAAAAAATGCTACTAGAGATAAAGAGGAACAATCCGTCCAGAAGATAATCAAGATAGTAATACTGGCATAAGCATGGACATATAGATCAATGGGATCAAATTGAGTACTGAAATATATATATATATCTGCTTGTTGGCAAGAGTACCAACACAGGTCACTGGGGAAAAGGCACAGTCCTGTTAATAAATGGTGCTAAGAGCTAAAACCATAAAACTTTTGGACAAAAGAAACAAAGGAATAAGTCTTCATGACCTTTGTTTCTGCAATTGGTTCTTACTTGACACTGAAAGCACAAGCATCAAATGACTTAATTAGAAACACTTGGAGGATAATAAGCATTATTTCTGGGTGTGTGTGTGTGTGTGTGTGTGTGTGACAGGTTGTTTCCAAAGGAGGTTGATGTGTTAGTAATTGTACTGAGTAGGGAAGATCCACCCTCAATGTGGGTGGGTACTCTCCCATCAGCTGGGGCCTGGGTAGAACAAAAAGGGGAGAAAAAGATTTTTCTGTCTGACTCTCCTGGAACTAGGACACTCTTTTCCTCCTGCCCTTGGATATCAGAACCCAGGCTGTCCAGCCTTGGGATTCTAGAACTTATACTAGCAAACCCCCAGGCGCTCAGACCTTTGGCTGCAGACTAATTGCACCATTGACTTCTTTTCTGGGTCTTAGGCTTTTGGACTTGGACTGAGCCATGTTACCAGCATTCCAGGGTCTCCAGCTTACAAATGGCTTGTTGTGGGACTTCTAAGCCTCCTCAGTTCCTTAATAAATCTTCTTATCTATCTATCTATCTATCTATCCACCTGTCTACCTACCTATCCATCCTATTGGTTCTATTGGTATTGGTTCTTCTCTGGAGAACCTAGTCTAATACATCTCTCATATTGCAGCAACCCTAGCTCATGCTTATTTTTTATTTTTATTTACTTTTGGTACCTGAGATTGAACCCAGGGGTGTTTAACCACTGAGAAACACTTCCCTCAGCCCTTTTTATTTTGAGCGAATCTTGCTAAGTTACTGAGGCTGGCTTTGAACTCGAGATCCTCCTGCCTCAGCCTCCAGAGCCACTGGGATTACAGGCATGCGCCATCAGGGTTCTCATACTTAACTTTTTAAGTTTTATTTCTTTTGTATTGTTTAGCTTATGCTTGTGACATGACAGAAATGTTTCCAGTGAGAGTGAAGAAACACAGTCTTATGAGGACCAGACCTGTTTTATTTCCCCAAGTAAGTAGTAATGCTGACTCAGAGTTAAGTGATGAGGATATAAGCATTATGTCTTTATGAGAGGAGATTCAAAGTCACATTTTCAAAAGTGTGGATACAGGGCTAGGGTTGTAACTCAGTGGCAGAGCGCTTACCTAGCATGTGTGAGGTACTGGGTTCCATCCTCAGTACCACATAAAAAATAAATAAATAAACAAAATAAAGGTATTGTGTCCATCTACAACTAAAAACATTAAAAAATAAAAAAGTATAGATACATAGAGTAGATTATAGATAATAGAATAATTGTGGTCACTTTGTAAATAATTTATCATATAATATTACAACCATTCATTTTATACCTGTGCACCCTTAGAAAGAACCATTTTCTATCTATCATTAGTTAATCAAAATAGATAAATTATATTCTTCTTCATCCAAATTTGAGAGATGGATCTAAGTGCCAAGAAGTGTATTAAGTTCTGATTCTTCCTTATTTATAGGTACACATATTAGGTCATCTAAAACCACTTTCCTTACTTGTACTTAGGTTTGGCCATGCTTACTAGCTTTTATCATTTATTGATTCTTGGTATTAATTCTTGTTCTATAGGAGTCTTATTACGGAAGTTGGGGCCTAATCTGACATGATAGAGATTTAGGTCTACTTTTTCTTCTAATAGACACAGTGTCTCTGTTTAATTCCTAGGTCCTTGATCCACTTTGAGTTGAGTTTTGTGCATGGTCAGAGATAGGGGTTTGCATATGGATTTCCAATTTTCCCAGCACCATTTGTTGAAGAGGCTATCTTTTCTCCAATATACATTTTTGGCACCTTTGTCAAATATAAGATAACTGTAATTATATGGGCTAGTCTCTGTGTCCTCTATTCTGTATCATTGGTCTACCAGTCTATTTTGGTGCCAATACCATGCTGTTTTTGATACTATTGCTCTGTGGTATTGTTTAAGGTTTGGTATAGTGATGCCATCTGCTTCACTCTTCTTGCTAAGGATTTAACTATTAACTATTTAACTATGACTATTCTGAGTCTCTTATTTTTCCAGATGAACTTCATGACTTTTTCTATTTCTATAAGGAATGTCATTGGGATTTTGATTGGAATTGTATTAAATCTGTATAGCGCTTTTGGTAGTATGGTCATTTTAACAATATTAATTCTGCCTATCCAAGAACAAGGGAGATCTTTCTATCTTCTAAGGTCTTCTTTAATTTCTTTCTTTAGCGTTCTGTAGTTTTCATTGTAGAGTTCACCTCTTTCATTGGATTAATTCCCAAGTATTTTTTTTTTTGATGCTACTATAAATGGGGTAGTTTTCCTCATTTCCCTTTCAGAGGATTTGTCATTGATATACAGAAATGCCTTTGATTTATGGGTGTTGATTTTGTATCCTGCTACTTTGCTGAATTCATTTACCAGTTCTAGAAGTTTTCTGGTGGAATTTTTTGGGTCTACTAGGTATAGAATCATATTATCAGCAAATAGTGCTAATTGGAGTTCTTCTTTACCTATCCATATCCCTTTAATTTCTTTCATCTAATTGCTCTGGCCAGTGTTTCAAGAATTATGTTAAATAGAAGTGGTGAAAGAGGGAATCCCTGTCTTGTTGCAGTTTTTAGAGGGAATGCCTTCAATTTTTCTCCATTTAGAATGATGTTGGCCTGGGGCTTAGCATAGAGAGCTTTTATGATGTTAAGATATGTTCCTGTTATCCCTAGTTTTTCTAGTGTTTTGAACATAAACGTGTGCTATATTTTGTTGAAAGCTTTTTCTGCATCTATTGAGATGATCATATGGTTCTTAACTTTAAGTCTATTGATGTGATGAATTACATTTATTGATTTCTGTATATTGAACCAAATTTGCATCCCTGGAATGAACCCCACTTGATTATGGTGTACTATATTTTTGATATGTTTTTGTATTCTATTTGCCATACATTTATTGAGAATTTTTGCATCTATGTTCACTAGAGATATTTGTCTGAAGTTTTCTTTCTTTAATGTGCTTTGCCTGGTTTTGGAATCAGGGTGATATTGGCCTCATAGAATGAGTTTGGAATTACTCCTTTTTTTCTATTTCCTGAAATAAATTGAAGAGTACTGGTATTAGTTAGAACTCAGGTGTGTGTCCATCCAGTCCTGGGATTTTCTTGGTTGGTAGACTTTTGATGTCGTCTGTTAGTTCTTTACTTGAAATTGATCTGTTTAAAGTGTATATCATCCTGATTCAGTCTGGGCAAATTATATAACTCTAGAAATTTGTCAATACCTTCGATATTTTCTATTTTAATGGAGTACAAGTTTTCAAAATAATTTCTAATTATCTTCTGTATTTCTGTAGTGTCTGTTGTGATATTTCCTTTTTCATTACATAATGTTAGTAATTTGAGTTTTCTCTCTCCTTCTCTTCATTAGCATGGCTAAGGGCCTATCAAGTTTATTTATTTTTTCAAAGAACCAATTTTTTGTTTTGTCAATTTTTTCAATTGTTTATTTTGTTTTAATTTCATCTCTCATTTCAATTATTTCCTAACTTCTATTTCTTTTGGTGTAGATTTGTTCTTTTTCTAGGACTTTGAAATATAATCTTAAGTCATTTATTTGTTGACTTTTTCATCTTTTAAGGAATGAACTCCAGGCAATGAACTTTTCTTCTTAGAACTGCCTTCATAGTGTTCCAGAGATTTCAATATGTTGTATCTGTGTTCTAAACATTTTTTAATCTCCTCCTTGATATCTTCTGCAACCCATTGTTTATTCAGTAGCATATTATTTAGTTTCCAGGTGTTGGAGTAGCTTTTATTTCTTATTTTATCATTGATTTCTAATTTCATTCCATATGATCTGATATAATGCAGGGTAGTATTTTATATTTGCTAAGAGTTGCTTTGTGGCATAATATATGGTCTATTTTAGAGAAGGATCCATGTGCTGCTGAGAAGAAAGTGTATTCACTTGTTGAAGGATGAAATATTCTATATATGTCAGTTAAGTCTAAGTTATTGATTGTATTATTGAGTAGTGAAAGAAGTGTGTTAAGGTCACTCAAAATTATTGTGTTGTGGTCTATCTGACTCTTTAGCTTGAGAAGAGTTTGTTTGATGAACGTAGATGCTCCATTGTTGGGGCATATATATTTATAATTGTTATGTCTTGTTGGTGTACGGTTCCCTTGAGCAGTATATAGTGTCCTTCTTTATCCCTTTTGATTGACTTTAGCTTGAGGTCTACTTTACTTGATATGAGGATGGAAATTTCTGCTTGCTTCCACAGTCCATGTGAGTGGTATGATTTTTCCTAACCTTTCACCTTCAGTCTATGGATGTCTTTTCCTATGAGATGAGTCTCTTGGAGGCAGCATATTATTGGGTCTTTTTTTATCCAATCTGCTAGTCTGTCTTTTAATTGGTGAGTTTAGGTCATTAACATTCAGGGTTATTATTGGATGATTTGTATTCCCAGCCATTTTTATTTATTTTTGGTATTTAACTTGACTTGGTTTCCCCTCTGATTAGTTTTTTCTTTAGTGTAATCTCTTCCTCTGCTGATTTTCATCATTGTTTTTCATTTCCTCTTCATGTTTATTTTGTTTTAATTTTTTTTTTAGTTTTTTGTTTTAGTTTCATCCTGGTTTTGGAATCAGGCTGATATTGGCCTCATAGAATGAGTTTGGAATTACTCCTCTTTTTCTATTTCCTGAAATAAATTGAAGAGTATGGAATATTTTGCCAAGGATGTTCTGTAGTGCAGGCTTTCTAGTTGTAAATTCTTTTAACTTTTGTTTATCATGGAAGGTTTTTATTTTATCATCAAGTCTAAAGCTTAGTTTTGCTGGATATAAGATTCTTGGTTGGCATCCATTTTCTTTCAGAGCTTGGTATATGTTGTTCCATGATCTCCCGGCTTTGAGGGTCGTGGTTGACAAATCTGCTTAGATAGGAACTGGTTTCCCCCTATACCTGATCTGATTCCTCTCTCTTGCAGCTTTTAAGATTCTATCCTTATTCTGTATGCTAGGCATTTTCATTATAATGTGCCTTGGTGTAGATCTGTTGTAATTTTGCTCATTCGGTGTCCTGTAAGCCTCTTGTATTTGATGTTCCAATTTATTCTTCACATCTGGGAAATTTTCTGATATTATCTCATTGAAGAGATTGTGCATTCCTTTGGTTTGAAACTCTGTGCCTTCCTCTATCCCAATAACTCTTAAATTTGGTCTTTTGATGCTGTCACATAATTCTTGGATGTTCTGTTCATGGTTTCTTACTATCTTCACTGGGTGGTCAGCTTTATTATCTAGATTGTATACTTTGTCTTCATTATCTGATGTTCTTTCTTCCAAGCCATATAGTCTGTTGGTTATGCTTTCTTTTGAGTTTTTTATTTGGTTTATTGTTTCCTTCATTTCAAGGATTTTTTTTTTCAGAGTCTCTATGTCTTTCTTGAAGTAATCTTTTGCTACCTGTATTTGCTCTCTTACCTCTTTGTTGGAGTGATCAGTTTTTGCCTGTATTTGCTCATTTAGGTCATTCTTTAATTCACAGATCATTTTAATTATGAACCTTCTGAACTCCTTCTCTGACATTTCATCAACTTTGCTGTCCATGGGTTCTGTTATTATAGTGTCCTGGTTTGTTTGGGGGCACTAAACATGTTGTCTATGTGTTTTTTCATGTTGTCTATGTGTCTTCCTTTCTTGTAGTGTGGATTTGAGATATTACAGTTTGTACCCTATATTCTTGTAGTACCCATGCATATTGTCTGTACCTCACCTTGATGTTGGGCTCCCAGGCCCTGCTGGTGTCCCTCAATGTATGCTACTGCAACTAAAGATGGTGGCAGCAATAGCCGAGGTAACTCGAGATAATAGTTGAGGTGCCCCAAGATGGATGCAGTGTCTTACAGAGATGGGTCTGAAAGGGTGGGCTTTATACTGACTTTGGGATGCCTACTCTGAGATGCAGCTGCTTCTAGGCCCTGTCTTTTGTCAAAAAGCA